AAAGGGAAGGATGTAGTAGAGTGACACAGTTTGAAGGAAGGATGAGTAGTGCAGAGTTTGAAGGGAGCGTAGTAGTAGTGACACAGTTTGAAGGGAAGAAGTAGTAGTAGTCACAGTTTGAAGGGAAGGTGAGTAAGTGACAACATGCTTGAAGGGAAGGTGAGTAGTGAAAGTTTGAAGGGAATGTAAGTAGTGACACAGTTTGAAGGAAGGTAAAGTAGTGACACAGTTTGAAGGAAAGGCTAAAGTAGTGACACAGTTTGAAGGGAAGGCTGAAGTAGTATCACAGTTTGAAGGGAGGTGTTGTAAGTGGTAGTGCCATAGTTTGAAGGAAGGAGTAGTGTGTCCAGAATTTGAAGTGAAGGGTGTAGTGGGGTCACAGTTTGAAGGGAAGGCTAAAGTAGCGTCACAATTTGAAGGTAAGGTTGTAGTATTGTCAGAGTTTGAAGAGAAGGCTGCAGTAGTGTCGCAGGTTGAGGGGAAGCTTGTGGTAACGTCACAGTTTGATGGGAAGGATGTACTAGTGTCAAAGTTTGAAGGGAAGGATGTAGTAGTGTCAAAGTTTGAAGGGAAAGATATAGTAGTGTCAAAGTTTGAAGGGAAGGATGTAGTAGTGACACACTTTGAAGGGAAGGATGTAGTAGTGACACAATTTGAAGGGAAGGATGTAGTAGTGTCAAAGTTTGAAGGGAAGGATATAGTAGTGGCACAGATTGAAGGGAAGGATGTAGTAGCGTCAAAGTTTGAAGGGAAGGATGTAGTAGTGTCAAAGCTTGAAGGGAAGGATGTAGTAGTGTCAAAGTTTGAAGGGAAGGTTGTTGTAGTGACACAGATTGAAGGGTAGGTTGTAATAGTGACACAGTTTAAAGGGAAGGATGTAGTACTGCCAAAGTTTGAAGGGAAGAATGTAGTAGTGTCAAAGTTTGAAGGGAAGGTTGTAGTAGTGATACAGTTTGAATCGAAGGATGCAGTAGTGTCAAAATTTGATGGGAAGGATGTAGAAGTGTCAAACTTTGAAGGGAAGGATGTAGTAACGTGAAAGTTTGAAGGGAAGGATGTAGAAGTGTCAACGTTTGAAGGGAAGGATGTAGTAGTGACACACTTTGAAAGGAAGGAAGCACTAGTGTCAGTGTTTGAAGGTAAGGATGCAGTAGAGTCAAAGTTTGAAGGGAAGGATGTAGTAGTGTCAAAGTTTGAATTGAAGGATGTAGTAGTGTCAAAGTTTGAAGGGAAGGATGTAGTATTGATAAAATTTGAAGGGAAGGATGTAGTAGTGTCAAAGTTTGAAGGGAAGGATGTAGTAGTGTCAAAGTTTGAAGGGAAGGATGTCGAATTGTCAAAGTTAGAAGGGAAGGATGTAGTAGTGTCAGAATTTGAAGGGAAGGATGTAGTAGTGACACAGTTTGAAGGGATGGATGTAGTAGTGACACAGTTTGAAGGGAAGAATGTAGTAGTGACACAGTTTGAAGGGAAGGATGTAGTAGTGACACAGTTTGAAGGGAAGGATGTAGTAGTGACACAGTTTGAAGGGAAGGATGTAGTAGTGACACAGTTTGAAGGGAAGGATGTAGTAGTGACACAGTTTGAAGGGAAGAATGTAGTAGTGACACAGTTTGAAGGGAAGGATGTAGTAGTGACACAGTTTTGAAGGGAAGGATGTAGTAGTGACACAGTTTGAAGGGTAAGGAATGAAGTTAGTAGTGACACAGTTTGAAGGGAAGGATGTAGTAGTGACACAGCTTGAAGGGAAGGATGTAGTAGTGACACAGTTTGAAGGGAAGGATGTAGTAGTAGTGACACAGTTTGAAGGAAGATGTAGTAGTATATTTGAACAGTTTTGAAAGGAAGGATGTAGTAGTGACACAGTTTGAAGGGAAGGATGTAGTAGTGACACAGTTTGAAGGGAAGAATGTAGTAGTAGTGACACAGTTTGAAGGGAAGGATGTAGTAGTGACACAGTTTGAAGGGAAGGATGTAGTAGTGACACAGTTTGAAGGGAAGGCCGTAGTGTGTTAAGTGCCAGGATTGCTGGAGTATTTACTCTTCACATGAAATGTTAACATCTGGGTTACTTCTTCCTATAATGTTCCCTTGTTTCTTAGTGAACTTTTAGATGAACTTTAGAATACATGAACACAATCCGAACAATTCTGTGATAGTGAATACAGTATCTGTTATTGTTTTAGAGTTCATTTCGCATTGTACGTCTGGAATTCTCTTGTTGGAGGGTGTGATCCTGCAAGACTCTGTCTGGATACAAGATGTTGTTCATCTTTAAAGGAAGAGACGCAAAGAACTTCCTCACCTGCGAACAGACGGCAAAAGTAACAGGGATTATTAATAAATCATTAAAAATTTTATACAACTTTAATTATATAATTATAATTTTTTTATACAACTATAATTATATAACTATAATTTTCATATTGTGGCTCATTATGGTTCTGCTGGTTGTTCAGCGTTTTAGCTTCTTTATCTCTAACATATCTGTATCTATCTGTTCCGACAATGACTTATAATTGTTTTTTCATTGTCGTGTCACCTCTATTGTCCAGGAATAGATAATTATTTTTGTGTAGTTAACTGGATGTTCAGTGAATGCAGTAGTGAAAAATCCCCAAGAGATTCTGTTGTTGTATTTTTTGTTCAAACTTTACCAACATGGCCGCTGTCCGGATACTATAAAATATTTTAAGGTATCACCTGCATTTAGTAGAATACAAAGGTGCCTATACCCATATGTATGAGCATGAGAAAGAAAAGGAAATTTGACAAGGAAGCTGAATTCGCCATATTAAGTTATTTTTAATGTTAGGATATTGAAGTCTGACTTTTTTAGAGATTGTGCTCAAGGTAAAATATGAATCCAATAAAACCATCCCATAAACAATCCAAAGTATTATAAATTAGCAGATTCAGGGGAAACCGGCCTATTTTTCTTGATATTCACGAGAATCACATCTGTTTTCATGTTCATAGAATATTGTAAGGAAGAAGAAGTTTTAGTAAGTTAAATAACAGCTGAGGTTACTACATCATATTGGAATAATGTTAATGATTCTTTTTCATGAAATACATATATTATTATTAATTTCATATTGATTTACATATGTAGTCACATGACTGATACTTTCTGCAATGCACAGCAAAACACATAATACATAGCATTGGACTGAATATGTAACTTACTGCAGGGGCTTGCTGTAGTTTTCATAATTCATGTGACTGCAACTTTGATAATAAAATTTAGTCAAAATTCCAACGTGGGAAAGTTGCTTCTTTATTGAAAACTGAGTCCTTCATTTAAAAAAAAAAAAAAAGAAAACTCCGGAGGTGTGTTCGTGCATGTTCTAAACATGATGAGCTCATGGATGTGAAAAATAGACCTACGTGGTGGCACGTGCATGTTTTTCTACTCACAACTGACGATACATAATATCCAGTAAGGGTCTACAGCTCAGCTGGTCTCAACTGGGAACAACATGCCATTCCAAACTTGGCATCTTTAGTCTGTATCATTACTTCATCATTGTCCAACGACTGTGCAAGCGAAAGCATGCCAAGTAGGAATGATATTTTGCTGCAACAGAACTGGTAGGAAACGCTTAAACTGAAATCCAGAAAATATCAGTGACTTTGGGCAAACACATCTCGAGTACATATGCTGATATTTGTCTGATGAAGATGTTCTAGATGCACTTTATAACCTGAGACTGACCATCTTCCCAGCAAATGCGATTTCATTATGGTTCGCTTGGCTTCATTTAAACTTTTCAAGTTTTTTTTTTAATTTTACTAGCTATCATCCTGGATAGAAATATACTTTCTTTTTTTCCGAAACCAAATAGGGCTGAAACAGTGTCTTATCCAGTGATAACGTGGACAAGGATGATACGAGCTTAGACTTTGGTATGCGTTGCCTACTGGATTCTACATATACTCATTTTTTTTTCTAAGTATACTGTACGTATAGTTTCATGTTGTCCGCAGTTTTGTCAAAAACATTACAAATAAATCTGAGACAGTCCATAAAGGCTACAAATCAAAGGAGCAGATGATGAAGTCAGCATCTGCGTGGCTCTGTCAGCATGCAGTACTAGAAAAATTTTTTCACTGACATGTGATGAGTATGCAGTCGTGACAACTTTTTTCAGACAAGCAGAAATTCTTTCTGTGAGGTATTTGAGTCGAACACAGTCTTAGCTTAGACCTTCTATGTAGCGCGGTGCTCGTGCTCAGTAATTTTGACTGACAGTACCACTGTTGCAGCCATCAAATACGACATTGCATTCAGTTGTTAAATTTTTCCTGACATGAGTCACTCATCTGTCATAAATGTTAGCGTATGTGAGGGCATGTAAATTAAAACGCCAGAAGACGCGGTATGATAGGTGGCCCACATAAGAACATACGAAAGAAGGAACACTGCAACAGGCCTACTGACCCATGCGGAGCTGGTCCATGTCCCCCCCGGGATTAGATCAATGACCCCCCCCAGGATTAGCCAAATGACCCACCCAGTCTGGTCACCTCCACTCAAGGATGGAGCACGGCACCAGACCCAGCAGCACAAGCTAGTCAAGTCCAACTCACACCTACCCACTCCCACTCATGTATTTATCTAACCAATTTTTAAAACTACACAACATTTTAGCCTGAATAACTGTACTCGGGAGTTTGTTCCTGTCATCCATGACTCTATTACCAAACCAGTGCTTTCCTATATCCTTCCTGAATCTGAATGTTTCCAACTTTAAACCATTATTGCGAGTCCTGTCTTGGCTGGAAATTTTCACCACGCTATTTACATCCTCTTTATTTATTCCTGTTTTCCATTTATACACCTCGATCGTATCCTCCCTAATTCTACGAGCTTCGAGAGAGTGCAGATTCAGGGCCCTCAGTCTATCCTCATAGGGAAGATTTCTGATACATGGGATCATCTTTGTCATCCTCCTCTGTACGTTTTCCAGAGCATTTATATCCATTCTGTAATACGGTGACCAGAACTGAGCAGCATAGTCTAAATGAGGCCTAACCAAGGATATATAGAGTTGAAGAACAACCTGAGGACTTCTATTGTTCATACTTCTAAATATGAAGCCAAAAATTCTGTTAGCTTTATTGCGAACACCAATGCACTGTTGTCTTGGTTTTAGATTACTGCTAACCAGAACTCCTAAATCCTTTTCGCAATCAGTAGTATTAAGATCTACATTATTTAGTTTATATGTGGCATGGTTATTTAACTGTCCAACATTTAGAACTTTGCATTTGTCAATATTAAACTGCATCTGTCACTTCTCCGACCATTGCATCAGTCTGTTCGAATCATCCTGGAGTGCTCTAGTGTTCTTATTTGAGTGAATTGGACGACCTATTTTGGTGTTATCAGCAAACTTGCTGATGTCGCTATTTATTCCCGCATCTATGTCGCTGTGAACAACAATGGGCCCAACACTGACCCCTGAGGAACACCGCTTGTGACTTGCCCCCATTCTGATTTTCCCCATTTATGCAAACTCTCTGCTGTCTATTTGTCAGCCATGCCTCTACCCAGGAAAAAAGTTCTCCTATTCTGTGTGCCTTAAGTTTCCTAAAGAGCCTCTGGTGTGGAACTCTATCGAAAGCCTTACTGAAGTCCATTTTCACAATATCATATTCATTACCATGATCTACCTCCTCAAACTCCTTAGTGAGAAAAATTAGGAAATTTGTAAGACAGGAACGCCCCTTTGTAAAATCGTGTTGAGATTCCTTAATCAATCTTTGCCTGTCAAGATGGCTACGAATTGCTTCGGCAGTTATTGATTCTGTAAATTTTCCCACCATGGAGGTAAGGCTTATTGGTCTATAGTTCGAAGCCAAGGACCTGTCACCTGCCTTTTAAATAGGTATTACATTTACCATTTTCCACTTATCAGGCACTATACCAGTTTGTAGTGATATGTTAAAAAGATTAACCAAAGGTATGCTAAGTTCCTCTTTATATTCTTTTAACGCCACTGCAAACAGTTCATCTGGGCCTGGGGATTTGTTAGGTTTTAGTTTCTCTATTTGTCTGAGGATCCTGTCACTAGTTACCGCTATCGTACATAGTTTATTATCCTGTTCTACATATTCTATTATTTCAGGAATATTGCTAGTATTTTCCTGGATGAAAACTGAGAGGAAGTAGGAATTGAGAATTTCACACATATCCTTATCACTGTCAGTGATCTAACCAGAGTTACTCTTAAGTGGGCCAATCTTGTCCCTAATCTTACTTCTGTATACCTGAAAGAATCCTTTTGGGTTAGACTTTGAATCCCTTGCGACCTTAGCCTCATAATCCCTTTTTGTTTTTTCTTTATTTCTCTCTTTAATTGAAAATAATGATTTCTTAACTGTCCATCCCCTCTTTTGATACGCCTATATATATATGCCTCTCCTTTTGACCAACGAGATGTTTTAATCTATTGTTCATCCGCTTGGGATCATTTTTGTTAGATCTAATTACCCTACACGGAACAAAAGTTGTCTGGGCAGCTAAAACTATGCTCTGAAAAACGTCATATTGGCAACCAAGATCACCTACCTGACCCATAGTCAGGACATCCCAATTTAGCCCACGCAGGTAATTTTTCAGTCCAATGAAGTCGGCAAAGCGAAAATCTGGGACATAGATTTGATTGCAGTTATCTGGGTAATTCCATGATTTATTGAAACTAAGTGATTTGTGATCACTTTCTCCAAGCTCATCATTAACCTCAAGATTATTAATTAGTGAATCTTTGTTGGCAAGAATCAATTCAAGCAGATTGTTTCCTCTAGTTGGTTCTGTCACAACCTGTTCTATAAAGCAATCCTGAACCGTATCAAGAAAGTCACTAGACTCAAGATTTCCTGTCATATTGTTCCAATCAATTTGTCTAAAGTTAAAATCTCCCATTATCACAACATTTTCATATCTAGATGCCTTATGAATTTCGTCCCATAACAGCTTACTGCACTCACTATCAAGGTTTGGGGGGCTTATAAATCACACCCAAAATTAATTTGTCATGTCCCTCGAGAAACTGTAGCCACACAGATTCTGTGTTCGATGTTTCTAATCTTATATCATGTCTAAGACAACAATTTAAATTTTCTCTGGCATACATCGCCACTCCACCACCCTTCCTGTTGACCCTATCAGTGTGGAATAGTTTATAACCCTTTATGTTGCATTCAGAAGGCATTTCTCTATCTTTCAGTTTGAACCAGGTCTCTGTTATACCTACACTTGCAAGTAATCTTAGCTCATCTCTCTTATTTCTTAGACTC